CCCGACGCTTCCTCGCCAGCACGCCACATCCTGTGGCCCCTGCCTCTTAAATCCCTCTCCCATGTGTGCCTTTCTCTCCCCCGCTGTGGCCCCTGCCCTGGTCCAGGCACCCCTCCTGCCCTTTGTCTGGCTGCCCCCTCCCGCGTCCTCCCAGGTCTCTGGCCCTGGTCTCGCCCTCCCTCCTTCCATGGCGCTCAGAACCTGTGTTACTCTCCAGCGCCCTCGGGAGAAAGCCCAGCTCCTCGGCATGGCCCGTGGGGCCCCGCGTGGCCTGGCCCCTGCCGGCTCGACTGGCCTCTCGGACACCCCTTCCTCCCGGGAACTCTGTGCTCCGGTTATTCCACCTCCCTTCTGCCCTCCCGGCCCAGCGTATCCCCGCTTCCCTCTGCTCTGTTTCACTGCTCGCCCAACTCCTCCTCCTCCAGAAAGCCCTCCTGGAATCTCGGAGGGGGTGGTGGTGGTGAAGAGCACCCTGACCACCCTGGCTGCTCACAGTCGGGGGGGGGGGGGTGGGCCTGTCTCCCCATCTGGACTGTGAGTCCTGGGAGGGCAGGACCTGGGTCGTCGTGGTCACCCCCGTGTCCCCATTGCCGGACAGCACAGGGTGGGGCGCAGAGCGCTTGTGGAAGTGGACACCGGGGGCGGACGACAGGGAGGCCTGGGTGTCTGGTGATGCGCTATCTGGTTGAGGAGCAGGAGGAGGCCGTGGCTCTGAAAGTACTGGAACAGGTCCAGGCTTTTGTCCAGGCTCTGCCATGGCTCCCGACCACTCGCCGCGTCTGCTGCCCTTGCCTTTCCAGATCCGCCCCGTCCCCCACCTCCCCGCCCCTCCGCTGGTGCTCCCGGACCCGAGCCTGGGTCCTTGGTTCAAGTGAGAGCTGAAGCTTCTCGAGCACCTACTGTGTGTTAGGCGCCGGGCTAGGCAGGAGGTTATGGGCATGAGTAGACGAAAGTCCCTGCCTCGGAGAACTGACCTTCTTTCTGTCTGGCGAGATAATCAGTAGGCGAATAAACACAACCACATAGAGCTTTGTATCAGGCGGGGGTAATGCCATGGGGAAAAAGAAAGCAGGGGAGGGAGTGGAGGGGGCCTGGGCACTGCCTTATGCCGGGCAGCGAGAAGACGTTGTAGGAGGCGACCCTGGAGTAGAGACTGAGTAAGGGAGCCGTGCTGAATCCAGGGGAAGAGCATTCCAGGCAGCGGGCACAGCAGTGCCAAGGGCCTGAGGCAGGAGCGTGAGGAAGAGTGAGGGGGCCGCTGAAGGAACAGGGGCGGATCTGGCAGGCCTCATGGGCCGCCGGAGGGTTTTGGCTTTTGCTCTGACGCTGGAGCCATGGAAGGGCTTTGGGCAGAGAACGGATGGGGGTTTGACACTTAGATGTTTGCAGAAACTTCTGGCTGCGTGTGGGCAACAGACTGGCGTGGAGGGGGCGGCGGGGGGGCTGGGAGGGGCCGAGGAGGTGACTGCGGTAGTCCAGCCGTGTCCCGTATGGTGGCCACGGGCCGCTAACTTCTCTGAACCGAGATGAGCTATGAGTAACAGGTACCCGGGCATTTTGTCCTGTGTACGTGGCTCCCATCCTTCCTGCCGGACGGCACCAAAGCGGGCACCCGGGAGGGGGAAGCGGCCGGACCGTGGGTACGTTTTACAGAGAGGCC